GAAATAATATGCAGCAGTGAAAATAAACATAGTAGTATATCTGAGACCATGAGAGGGAATCTGAAGAAAACAATTCTGAGCAAGCAAAGTGAATGGAAAATAGTAGATATCAAATGATTACATCTAGACTCAAAACTAAGCAAAATGAAGCTGTATTGCTTCTAGATTTACCTATGGGTTGTAAAAATATAAAAAGAAGGCAAAAGTCACCTGGATAGTATAGGGAGAGGTGAAGAGTCATGACTGGAGGTTCTTGAGGGTGTTGGGAATATTCTATGCTTTTGACTTACGTGGTTCTTATATGGCTTATGGTGGTTATATGGTTATATGGTTAACTATTTGTTACAAGCACACATTTGCTTACTTTTTATTAAATAACATATTCATATTTTTAGAAATTTCTCACATATTCATGGTTTAATGTTTTTAGCAGTAAGAAAGAAAATTTGATCATATTAAATAAAAAAAGTGATAATAGGGTGTTATGAATTAAAAACGGGTGGTCAGCTTAACACCATCTGAATTAAAGCAGCATGGTATTGAGTGTAAATGGCCCACCTGAGGAAAGCTGCCAACATAAAAGGACTTATGGAGAGGAAAATAGGGCATTGTGGGTTCTCCTAAGCGTTGTTGTTTGGAGCCACTGGTTCTCCTGGAGGAGCTTGTCACGGCTAGCTTCCCTAATATGAATTTGGCCATTATCATTGGAGGAGCTTGGGACCTTGTCGCTGAGAGTAGCTGTGGTTCACTTTGGAGGAGCTTAGGTCCTTATTTTTAGCACTGTTTCCTGGCTCTGGAAGGGGGAAGATGTTTTCTATTTAATCTCCAGAAGTTGTCACACTGGCTTCCTGACACGTACTCGACTGTTCTCATTGTCAGAGGAGCTTGGCACCTCATTGTCCCTTCGGTTGGCTGTGGTACTTTTCAGTGGATCCCTGGTCCTTATTTTGAGTGTCATTTCTTGGTTCCAGTGTAGAACCCTCAACCTACTGGCACAGATCCTTCATCCAGCTGGCATAGACTTTCTAGCTTCCATTGCTGACCTTTGGGCCTTCCCAGCACACAGCCATAAAACTTTTCAACTGGACTCATACAGGATATTGCTGTGGGATCCAGACCCTTGCCTGAATTTTCTAGGTCTTTAGTGTTGTGGACAAATTTCCTGCACTTTCTTGTATTTAACTCTGGACAACCATCATAAAATAATAATATAAATTCTAAGTCCTGTTTGCAACCCCTGACTACAACATAGGGTGAAAAGGGAAGAATATTTTACAAAATGCTAAGACATTCTTAAATCTTGAAATCTTGCTCTAAACAGTGTATTACATTTGTGTAAAATCAGTTATTTGCACTCCCCCTCCCTAATGTGAGCATCTGTAAGCGTGGCAGGCTCTGGCGGCCCAGGACAGCAGCCACCGGCCATTATTAGGATCTGCGCCATGCTGGGACCTGGAACACCAGGAAACCAAGCAACCCCTCCCCCCACCTGTTTTGTTTTGTTGAACTTCAATATACAAGAAAGTATGGACAGCTATTTTGAAGAGAACGAGAGACTCTATGACAGCCATTGGTGACTTCCCTATGGTCTGGTTTTAAAGACCTAAATCACCTTCTTCATTCTGTTTGAATTAGTTTTCTTTTATGTTGTTTTGTATGAATTCTGTATGCAAAGACATGGACAACTATTTGGAAGAAAACAAGAGACAGTGAAAATCTCAGGTCATCTAGCTTTGAAATTTATATCTCTTACATTGCTTTCTTATGTCCTATTTTGTTCTGTTTAATTTTATCCCCTTTAAAATAAAAAAATCAGTCATTTGCTTTGCTGTCACACTGTCTTCCTTAAGATTTGTTACAAGCACACACACACAGTTATGGGGTCTATAATGTCAATAAATCTAGAGAAATCTAGATGTAACCTGGGGGCAGCTGCGTGAATTCCAAGAACCTCTAAAATTCTAATCTAAAATGCAGGTACAGCAAGTCAATATTTTTTAAGAATTGAAAGTGTCATTAATTTTAATAAAATGTTAATTGATCCAGTAATATAAAAATATTACTATATAGTCAATATACGTTTTCCAGTATTGAGTCTTTGATATCTTGTGTATATTTCATACTCACAGAAAATATCAACTCGAACTTGACACTTTTCAAGTTCTAGATGGTTTATGTGGCTCCTGGTTACTGTATTGGATAGTGTAATTCTAGAACATCAACTCCACAGCAATAAAAATTTTGCCTGGTTTTGCCTTGGTGGATATGATGTGTAGTACTTGGTATCCCCCTTAATAAGTATTTTTGAGATAGATGCTTAAATGAATATTCAGTTCAGCTTAGAAAAAGAACATTCTTATACCCACTGAGAAACTTTAGTGGCAGTGAGGGTGAACCAAGACAAATTAGAATAATAATTCTATTTGGCAAGGGTTTCATCTTGCATATGAGAGCCATAAAGCCATCACTAAAAAGGACAGTTTGCTGACAGGTAAAATTTGTGGATACAGAAATTCCCAGTAAGATGTTGAAGATGTCCTCTATTTATTTTTTGGCACTGAGTTTGAATCCAGGACCTTCACACTGAGATTCATCCCCAGCCTTTTTTTTATTTTGGAACGGGATTTTCTATAATGCTAAATTATCTGGGCTGGGCTGGGCTAGAACTTGTGACTTTCCTGCCTCTGTCTCCCAAGCTGCTGGGATAACAAATTGTACCACCAAGCCTGGCTTATTATTTTTAATTACTTATCTTGTTGGGTTAAAATGCATTCTCTTTCCTTCCCTTCATCTCCCCTTCCTCCTTTCTTCCTTTAGTGTGTGTGTGTGTGTGTGTGTGTGTGTGTGTGTGTGTGCGTGTAGCAGATCTTCTCAATGGGCTACATATGAGGGCTCTGTCATGTATGTATGTATGTATGTATCATGTATCTTTTGATACAGAGTCTTACTAGGACATGAAATTGCCCAGTCTGGGCTTGAGTTTGTCATCCTTTTTGCCTCAGTTTTTGAGTGCTGGCATTATAAAAATGCCAAATGAATAAAAACCAGGTTTGGCCTTTTTGTGGTCCGGGAAGTTTATATTTGTAATCTCATAGAAAAGTTATTGGAATTATAGCAAGTCAATTCCAATTTACCACTTCCAGTGCAACCCACAGTGAGAAAAAAGATATGAAGGGATATTTGTACTTGTGGGGAGCCAAGGGGTTCTTAAGTTCAGCTAGGGTGATGGCTAAGCAGAGCAAAGGTCTCAACCAAGGGCCAAACCTGGGTTTTACTGATTTGTGAAGAAGGGAGTGGCTTGAGAATGAGTGACTGTGAGAATGGCGGGAAGTACATGAGTCTGTGAGCTGGGCAAGGTAGGGGGCCTGAGATCACCTCTGCAGTATGTGGGGAGAAGGGTATGCAGAAAGAGCAATCTGCATAACACAATTTGAAGCAGTATCTAATGTTTTGGGGTTGGTGCTTCAGCTCTGATGTGAAATCTTTAATGCCCTGGGAAGTCATAGCCTCTTATCATGAGGCTCAATCCCAGATGACAGCATGGAGCGTGACTCTCCTCCTGCCTGGCTCACACAAGTTTATTGGGAGATATGGGGAGGGGAAACACTGACCGGTTGCATTGCTTCAAATCAGCGCCTCCACTAGCCTAATATGCATTGCTTAAAGCCAATTGTAGATATAAGGAAAAGTTCTTGCTAGCTCTGTATATACCAATACATATAAATAGGGCCAGGTTTGGCCAAGATGGAGATAATTGCTTTTTTTTCAAGGATAGTCTTCCAGGTGGTCGTCTACAATAGGTGTGTGTCATCATGCCTGGATTCCCTTTTAAGGTTCCATCTCTGTCGTGTTTCCTCACCCAAATGTACTTTTCATACGTAAATCATTGCTATATTTGTTGCAACACTTTAAGACTTGCTTCACATACTGTGTTAAGCACTACAGTTTTCTCCTAGCTATCTGGTTTTAAAACCATTGGCATGTTGTACCTGCATTTGAGATTAAACTTTTTTAATTGGTGAACATTGTGATCTCCGGTGTATATGTGAGCAGTTAAGTGTGTTATTAAAACGAGATGGTGTTTTGCTCTTTACACAAGACATGCTGATGTGAGCAATCTGGCTGCAAAAGACACAACCAGGACCTTCTCTCAGCAACTTTTCCCACATCGTCTCCCAATGTCTTGATGTACTTTTCAAATTAGACTGCAAGTCCTTTTGGGTCTTGCCTTAATTTCTTTCCCCTAGTGGTAGAAGCATTCCAATTGTAGACAAGCTAGCTGTGTCAGATGACACTGGAATTATTCCATCGAATTTCCTTCTCCTTCACTCTCACCAGCACTGACAGAAGCATGCATCTCTACATGGGCTGGGTTATTTTTTTAGTTCAAGAAAAAAGTTCTGTTGACAAATATCAAGGGAGAAATATTACTGCATTTACTGAAGCACATTACTTTTTAATATCAGGAAATCATCTGTGTTACCATTGGATTTTCTCTTTTCAACAAGTCTGCCATCCAGCCCCTGCTTCTGCCAACACATCTGTTGGAGAGATGTTACACTAACCTATTGTCTCCCTGGAGGACAAGAAGACACAGTATTTAGAAGCCTTGTGGAATATCAATTTTTTTTTTGCTATCTGTTAAGTGGTGACAACCCAGTATTCATTCTTTGGCTAACATGGTTTGGGAAAGATTAACCCTAGCTGAGCCAAAGGGATACTGGTTTCCATCTTATTGTGCCACTTTTGTTTCTTCCTGGACAGCAATGGCAAGACTTGAACTTTCCCAGGAGGATGTATCAGTGATGTTGAGACAGTCAATTTAAGGTGAAATGTGTCCACAGGGACTTACCACAACCACTCCTGTTCATTACTAGAGGGATAAAGGGATAGCACCCAGATACACAGTCACAAGTTTAGCTTACACCACATTCCCTCATTATTGATAAGAGGTATTTTCCTGGTGATCCATGAGAACCGTCACAAGAGACAAGAGATGCAAGAATCTACAAAGTTTTTATTGCAATTCCAGATGTCAATAATTTTAAGGATCAATGTAGCTAGGAAAACTTAATTTCTCAAATGAAACCTTTTTTGCCTTAACACATGTGAACAAGAGAAGATAATGTATGTTTTAATAGACAGAATCATTAGCAGGTGACAGAACCTGAATAGTAAACAGTATAGTGAAAGCTGCAAGAAACTGTCTTTACATCAGCTATGATCTGAGTCATCCTGACTTGTGAAACCATAGAATAGGTACTTACTGTAGCTGGTCTTAGACCAATGAATTTGCACTTTGTGTTTCTGATCTTGAGCTTAAACTTATACAATTAATTTTTTGAGGTTGAGCTTTTCAGAGGGACCTGAGACAGGAACTCTTGTACAGAAGTGTTTTGCAAAAAAAAAAAAAAAAAAAAAAAAAAAAAACAAACCTGACAAAGTTCCATGATCCCACTGGCCCACAAGATAGTCTCTTGATGCACAAGAGTGTGGAACCATATCTCAAAGCTTGTGCTTCAGACAAGAGAGCTGGAATTTTATATTCCTGCACCCATATGACATTAACCAAATCTCCTCCCATGCTGTTGGCCAGAGCTGTAACTTCTGACCACTGTGACTCCCTGGGTCTCCAGGCAAATGTTCTTAGTAGCCTGAGAGGGCGTCTTTTCCTCTAAAACTTGCCTGTGCATGGCAGTAGAAGCAAAGATCCTCAAAGCAGATAAGGGACATGGGACATGGTTAAAGGAATCCAAGAACATCTGGGTAGAGTAACAATAGTACCCAGGGCAGTAACACTGATTTCATTGCTGGTTGACAAATCTTTAGTAACTAACTTTTACGCTTTTAATGAATTCACAGCTAGTAGAAGACAGACCTTGGCTTTACAACGTGACCCCAATTTTGGAATGAAAGATTAGGATGTATCAAAAATGCCTTGATTCTTAATATTTTTATGTGCCAAATATGCATAAAATGTGTTTTTATGTGTATTTTTTGTGTTTTCCACTGACATTGTTTTATTCAATAAAGTGAATGAGGTAGAATGAAGAATATACATACTTTCCATGAGACTCAATAAAGTCATGTTTGATTAAAGAAAACTTATGGATTTATTAAAATCGCAAAAGTAAGGCATGTCAGAAGAAATAAAATAAGAAATGGAGAAGACTTTCTTATTTTTTAAAATCTTTCTCCTAAGGAGTACTTTTTAGAGATAGCTACTGTCTAGCATCATATTTATTTATTATTCCATCTATTGAGCCTCTTCTCTGTTGGCAGACGTTTAGGTTGCTGGCAATTTTTCACGGTTGCATTCTACATCACATGTTCTTGTCTACAGTCTTATATGCAAGGATTCAGATACTTTCCACACAAGAACAGACTCCTTGAGGGAGGGTTGTAGATTTTAAGGTTCGTGCCTCAAATGCTGACAAAACTGTACTCAAATGTATATCATCTCCCCATGATTGGAGGTATTAACATACTCTCACTGACAAGGATTAAGGGCTCTTTTCCCCACTTGTTTGAGTTGTACGTAGAAGAAAAGAAGCTTGTCCATCATGTTTGTTGAGTTGGTCCCAGTGGCTGAGAGGCTCTTTTGAATAAAAGATACCCAAATCTACTCAAATTAGCTTAGATAGAAGTGGAGCTTTTAGGAAAGATGAAAATCTCGTGAAATAAGAAAAAAAAAAAAAAAAGAGAGAAAAGGAAATGAGCTAGAAGGCCGAAGCAGTAGGAGTTTATGAGCTTTACATCTTGTGATTTTTTTCAGCGAATACTTATTGAGCACCTACTATGTGTGGAAGTGTTGGCAGTGGTCATAAAGCAGCAAATCAGATCGTTATGATTTCTGCTCTTGTGTGACTTCAATCTGACTTCTAACATTCATGTCACTTGATTCTTCTTCCTCACCCTCCGCAGTCTCTGTGTTTCTTAGCTCAGCTTCTTGAAGGGAAATATAATGGGCTGCTCGGCAGAATCATGACTAATTAGTTCCTTCTAGGTCAGGAATCCATCATCTCTGGTCAGAGGGGGCTACAGGAAAAGAGAGTATGGTGATTGGAGGGCAGATACTTTACATACCTCATTAGAAAATTGTCTCTATGCCATATGATTTGGAAATATTCTATGCATGATTCAGTTTCTATCCTTTCAGTCACCAGGTTCTGAAGATAACTCTAATAAAGGAAAGTCATTTCATATTATGATAGTGACATTATATACTGCTAAGGGAATCCAGGACAATTACTGTTTTAATTTGAAAGAAATTTTGCCCAAGTAATTAGCTCTGTCAGTGAATATTGCAGATAACCTTTGAAGTCAGGACCTTAGAGATCAACTAATTCTGTTGACCTATTTTCTAGATGAAAAAACTGAGGCCCAGAGAAAGGATTAAAGATTAAGTTCAGGGTTAAGAATCCACCAATGGCAGAGTTGGGAATGGAGCTCAATTTGTTGTTGCTGTTGTTTATAGCCCCTTTTCCTTTTATCCACCTATTGTCTCATCCTCTTCTTTTATTTTCCCGTTAAACACTCTGATCAGTTACTTTTCTTGAGTATTTAAAGCATGTTGATGATTTTAAAAGCAGAATATAAAAGTGTATATGGAAAAGTAATTCTCCCACCCTGGTTTCTACCCTGAGGGTCTGCTTCTAGTGTAACTTTACAAAAAAAAAATCTGTTGATTTTGAGCATGTGTATTTTTTGTCTTGCTATTTTTGCTATGTCATGAAGATTATTTTGTATGTTTATATTATCAGCTATCTATATCTGTATCTATTTCTAGCCATCCTGGGAATTAGTAAGACTGTAATGCCTAAACTGAGTTTCAGAATTTTTAAACTCCCCATTCTTTTTAACCAGTCTATAATACTCCATTATCCCTTGATATAGAAATACTGTAATGGCATTAGATCATTTCTCACTGATAATCAGTTATTAATATTTTTCTATGATAATCAATATATGAAGGACATTTTGCAACATGTTTTTGTCTATGTATCTGAATACATTTGTTTCTCTCTTTTGCTCCATCCAGTCAATTCATAGAATTGTGGAGAGAAAAAAATTCTGTTCCGACAGAAACCTGAATAGAAAAACTGGATGCAGAATATCTCAAGATTTTCTAATTTAGCAAAAATGGGAGGAAGGTAAGAGGAGTTTATTAGAAGATCCAGGAAAGTTACACAGAAACCAAGGAACAAAAATCTCAGGAACACGAAGCTGTAACAAGGTCATCTGGTACTCCCTTTTGTCTCATTTCTGCTTCTCTCTGAGATCCTACTCACTTCCCATCCTTAACTCTTTGTGTTCCTTTCTGCACAAAAAGCTTCCTCACAAGACTCCAGTGTGCTGGTCCAGCCCATATTGGTTGGATTTTGCTCAGTCCCAGACAATGAGGCTTATCTCATTTGCCAGTAAAGTGACCTGTGTAAGACATGACTCAGAATAGGTCCCCTTTTACCCAACATCCTTCAGTCAGAGTCTAACTATTACAAAAACATTCTGCACTGCCTATCAAGGCATTTGCACTTCTTACTCTGACCTTTTGCCAGACTGTCACTTCCTGTGCTTTTTATTCTAATCTAAATTCTGGCCATGGTGAACGAACTCATCATTTCTACACACACCAAGGAGGACAGCTTGGTCAGCAGAATTTGGGAGTTCAGCTTCAGCTTACCCTTTATGTGAGTGTCATCGTGGGGTGCTCATCCTCATGACTGTACAAACAGAAGCAAGACTTCAGAGCCAGGGGAGAGTCCTTGATCCTTCTGTAGGTTGAGGGTAGACAGTTAAAGTTGGCTTTACCTTTATGTGAGGATGAGCTCTGGTTTGGGAGCTTGAACCCAGGGCCTTCCCACTAAGCCACATTTCTATGTATATATGTATATTATAAACTTTGAGACAGGGTTTCACAAATTGCTAATTATCTAGACTGGGCTTGAACTTGCAATCCTCCTACCTCAGTCTCCCAGAGCACTAGGTTATAAGCAGAAGTTTGATTTTATTTTTTTACTCATTACAAAGAACATGGTGGTCCTAGGAAACTATGGAATTTAAGGAGGATATGTAGGGGTGGCATCTTCTGGGTATGTTCAGATCTCCCTGTGGCTGAGGCGGTTATGGCCTCTGAGGTGGCCATGAGACCTGGTGCAGGTTATGCTGCCGGTAGAGTGAATGGCCCTAGGTCAACAAGGGGAGCCCCAGATCCACCACCAGGTCCCACAAGTCTGCCAACCTATTGAGTTAGTTCTCTGATGTGATGCTGGACCACTGCTTTTCTATTCTTCCAAAAAAACGAATGAACAAACACCAGCCTTCTACTTCCAGCATGGTTTTGTTGGCTATTTCCGAACAGTGGCCAGAGCTATCTTTCAAACATGCAAATATTAGCCAATTCAATTCAACCCTCCCATAAGACCCTACTCCAGCTGCATCTTGGCTCTCTTTTAATTCCCATTTCTCCTCTGTCCTCTCAAATCTCTTCCCAGCTCATTAGCAGGGATTCTTATCTCTGTCTCAGTGTAGACATTTCTGTTTGTAGTAGTTTTATCTTGCTGTTGTGACAAATTATCACTAATTTAGTGTCTCAAAACAAGCAGAATTTATTCTCTTACAGTTCTGAAAGGCCTAATTGCTGCTCTCTGAAATCACACTTGGTCACCTCTTTTTTTTTTTTCCTTCTGGTACCAGGGATTGAACTCATGACCTCACAATTATCAAGCAGACACTTGTTCCCTGAGCTAAATACCTGGCTCCCTGAAATTACATTCGATCTAGGGATATATCTCAATGACACGTGCCTCCTTGGCAAGTGCAAGGTTGTGAGTTCGATTTCTCCCATTCTGCTTCCCAACTCTTTTTGCTCCTCTCTGCACACAGGATTCCTCACAAGATATTTCCTGTCTAAACAGACACAAAAGGAGTTCAAATCAGGAAAGCAGAAAGGAGACTATTAGGCAGAAAGAAGGGGACCAGGGATGTGGGGAAGACAGTAGGAGTGTAATGAGGGAGAAGCTAATGTAGCTATGTCAGATGCATGTACAAATATGCGATAGGGAACCTGCTATTCTGTAGAACTAATAGGCACTAGTAAACATTCAAAAAAAGCTATAAAACCCAGGTGTCTGTTAGACTTATTTCTTCTGGAGGCTCCAAGGGGAAAATCTGTTCTTTGCATTTTCCAGCTGCCTTGGCTTGGAGACTTCTATTTTCAAGCAGCTTCACTCCAATCTCCACTTCTGCCTTTGCATCTCTTTTTCTTCTCTTATCATCAAACCTCTTTCTGGTTCTCTTTTATAAGCACTCTTGAGAGGATGCTATGGCCGTGGGATCATCTAGAATTATTTTCCCTTTTCAAGGTCTATAGCATCTTCACATCTGCCAGTCCTATTTGCTAGGTAATAGGTTTCAGGCTTCAGGGATTAGGACCTGGAAATCTTGGGGACCATTGCTCAGCTTGCCACTCCCTCTTCCTACCTTCAGGTTGCATGAAATGTATGAAACACTTCTGGTGTCCAGACAGGATACTGGACATCTCCAATGAGAGCACCTATACTTGGATTATGTTTTAAAAGGCAAAAATTAGTTATATATGCCATTCTTTTTCTCTGAGTGTGTAGGCAGACTAACTCCTCCAGCTTCCTTTCTGCTTAAATTTGGACCTTGTGACTGAGTTCAGCTAATGTAAGTGATGAGGGTGTTGTATACCACTTCCAGATATGAGCTCAAAGTACCTTACTTGATCGTCTGAGCTCTGCTTTGCTCCTCTTGGCCGGAAGTGAATGGTTTCAGGATGGTTTACAACTCCTAGGCCATCATTCATTGTGTTAGGTCACTGAGATTCTGGAGTTGACCTATGCTGACTAAGAAATTTGTTTTCTATCTTATTATTTATTGATCCCTATCCCCTAGCATAATGCTTAACACTAAGTGAAAACTTTATAAGGGCTTGTTAAATGAATGACAAGCAATTGGATTTTGATGGAGTCATAGAAATAAGAAAGGTTAGTGTGAGGGGCTAGAGAACCCATAATTGTCACTGTGAGAAATGATAAGCCTTGAGCTATAGCAGTAATGGAGTCAGAAGGAAAGGAAGGCATTGATGTACCTTTGGCAGAGGAGACTGAGTTTGCCAATTGACAAGATATGGAAATTGAGACACAGTTTAATGTCAAAAGACCTCCCAGGAAAGTGGCTTGGACACATGGCTGGACATTGGTACACTCAACTTTCAAATGTCATTCTGAATATGTGGGTGAAAAGACAGCTTCTCCATCTCTGTGACCATCACTTCTTTAATTGCAGTAGCAATCAAGAGTACCAACTTTGGCTGGGGATTTAGCTCAGTGGCATAAGCCCCTGCCTGGCAAGTGTGAGGCCGTGAGTTCGATCCCTGCTACCAAAACAAAACAAAACAACCCACCCCCCTCCAGCTTTTCCTTGACTGTTTTGGCTGGGAAGTCTTGAGCATGTGGGGATTTTCATTTTATTATGCTTGGTAGCCATGGAATTTAGCTATATACCAAAAGGTGGCTATATTCATTCCTGTATCCTTGTGTACATGCACTTTCCCCTGTAACTCTTCAGACTTCTTATTGAGAAAACTTTATTTCTTTACCCTCTGAATATGGACTTGCTTTGGCAAACAGAGTGCGGTAGGAGTGATGTGGAGCCTATTGTAACTCTGGGTCTCCACTGATGTGTGTGCTTTCTCTTGTTTTTGTAGAATCTGCCAGCCATCATATGAAGAGGTGTGGCTAGGCTTGAGGGGGCTAAGAAGCCTGGTGGAGCAGAGGCTATGAGTTAATCTGGCCAAGACCGAAAATCCACTCAGAGGGGAGCAGCCTACACTGTCAACCCAAAGAAATGTTAAATTAAAAAATAAAAAGGTTAACAAGCCACTAAATTTTGGGGTGATTTTTTACATGACAAAAATTCTATATTTACAGGTATAATTCTATATTCTATATTTATAGGTATTTGAGCAGTGTGACAAGCATCAGAAGAAGTAACCAGCTGTGGAGTTTTCCTCTAATCTCAGCAGATTCCTGGGGACATGCCTAGTTATTTTTCTCAATATATCCACCTGGAAAACACATCACCCCCAGGCCTATTTTGGCTTCATGGAATTGAATTATTCAGATAAATTCTTCAATTAGTGAGCAAAAACTTGTAAGCAAAAGCTACCATCAGCCTCTTAAATTAGTAGTCCTAGATTCAGATTTCACATACAATCCAATGAACAAAAGTTGGGGTCGTTTAACTCCAGTAAACTGACCTGCTGATATTTCCCTGATAGGAAAAGTACCATATGTGTGCACCAAAGCCTGAGAAACACAAAATTTTTTTTTTTTTGGTCTTTTTCGTTTTTATCGGTACCAGGGATCGAACTCACGACTGCCTGCTTGCAAGGCAGGCGCTTATGCCACTGAGCTAAATCCCCAGCCCTGAGAAACACAAAATTAACATTTACTAACTACCAAACTAGTAATATGAATATAATGTGTCACTAAAAAGGGTATTTATTGAACACAATTTCATCAGCCTTATTTTTTGAAATCAAAATTAAAATTTTAAAATTTTTAAAAAATTTTACAGATTAGTGAAAATTTTAACACCAAATTTTAACTAATACAACCTGTTTCTTTTTGAGTGTGTACAGTGTCCAAGACGGGATCTTGTCTCAATCTTCCTGGACCTCAATGCAGTGCTGGTCCTTCGTTCACCTTCAGGTGTCCAAAATAAAAAAAAAAAAATGAGTATTTACTATGTACTGCTGAGGTTCTATCCACTGAGCTGGCTACTTATACAACGTGTCTATTTTTATCCCTATTTGATAGATAAGGAAATCAAAGCTTGGGGGAGATTAACCAGCTTATTTTGAAGTCATAGACTTCTTTTTGAGAAACAGCCAGAATTTAAACATAGGCTTTAACTCATTGGTTTTCAGCTGATTTTGCCCCCACCCCACCCCGAGAGATATTTGATAATGTCTGCCAAAATTTTGGTTGTCACACCTGGGAGAGGTACTATTAGCATTGTGTAGATAGAGTTCAGGGATAAATCTAAATATCCTGCAATGGCACAGGATAACCTCCCGCCCCCAACGAAGATATATCCACCCCAGAACAGGGAAAAAACTTGGTTTGACACCGAAGTGCATGCCACCCCTCAGCAGTCAGTACCAGACCCTTCATGTTTTCTTTCTTTCTTTGTAAGGAGTATAATGTATTTTTCTTAAACGACTTCACATTAGTGACTTAAGATTTAACTTTGCCTCGAACACCTCTGCATATAAATTCGTGTGTTTGATGTTATTATTTTCTTAATATGTATTGTAATAAATATAAAACCAGTAACATATAAAAGATTTGTGCTGTAAGTATGGCCAGAAATCATCTCCAATATCATCATCGGTCTGGGAGGAGCATGCTTGAGACCCATTCACTTCTGTGAGATTTCCCTTAACTCTGCAGACAGGAAGAGGAAAATACACCAAACCAATGTATTTCTGGAAACTGGCAAGGTGCTAGCTACATTTTGCTTCTGCTTCATCTCTTTTTATTCCTCAAGGATAACAGTTGCTTAGAAACCTCTTTGAAACCCTAAAAGCCACCTGATGAGGACGATTAACAAACAACTCCTTCGGGTGAGGGCCATAGCACACATACTTCAATTTGTTGAGTTGCTTATGAACACTGGTTGCAATATAGTATTGGCAAGCAGATATCCTTCACTACATCTTTTCCTTTCCTAATTGTTGGGGGGACACAATTGCATTCCTTTTGCTGTGTAATGCAGTCTGGCGTAAGTACGGCTGGGGCAAGTGTGATTCTTCATATATTAAAGTGCCTGTGTTGTAAATAATAATAATAATAATAATGTCATCATCTCTTTCATAGAAGGTACTTTCATTAAGAGCATTTTAATTTAGACATGTATCAACTCATTTGAATAGTCATTGTGCAAGAGGTATTTGATGATTTTTTATCTTCCATGAATCTGTCAGGTGTTTGAGTTAGGTAGTTCATAACCTCTCTCCCGTCCCACCCAGAAGCCCTAAAAGAAATACTCTCATTATCGTTTACTCCAAACAGGGTCATGTTTCAAATCATCAAATACTTGCTAGGTGGAGGGACTAACTTACTGGTATGAGAAACTGAAGTTTTGCCTTTTCAAAATGAAATGAACCACAACAATTCCACACTCTTTTAGGTAAATTTTGAAGCCTTAGGAAACAGGCTGGGGCAATATTCCAGGGACCAGTGGCACACAGAGCAGCAAGAGAAGAAAGGAAATGTGGTTTGGAAAAAGCTCACGGAGGTATGGGGCTCACAGTTTAGAATCACTGGCAAGTAAGCCATACAGGGTGGATCCCAGCTTCTTCTTTCTAAGGCACAGTCCCTGCACTTTTCTTGTCACAAACAGGGGGCAGTCTCTGTTAATTAAAGCCAGAGTGAATCTCCTCTGAGAACCAGAGTCAAATGTCCTGTTGACAGGAAGTATTTTAGAGTTTGGAGGCAGATTCTGAAATTTTGTTTTCTTTCTCCAAGTTATTTTTAAAAAATCAAGTTTAGATGTGTCTTAAGATGCCACCCCCACCCCACCCTAGCACTGTCTCTTTCAGAAAGAGGTCTGTGATCTGTTGTTCTTCCACTGACCCTGATGCTTGCTGGTAAGTACTATGGAGTGGTGGAGCAGATGTGGCAGCATCAGCAGCTGAGTAGTCTGCATCCTGCCCTGGCTTTACCAAGTGTTGGACCAAACCTTTAAGTTGTCTGAGGTTATATGGAAGTCTGGCCCTCACTCCTAGAATCACCCAGGCATGACCCTGGGCAACTAGTTCAGTTGCTTTGAGTCCCAGTCTCTCTCCCTGGGCTGCAGGGCCTAACATGTAGAGTTAAATGAGATCAGTCATTCAGTGGCTCAAGCATTTCCAGATTGTCTGCTGGGTGCTAGGCGCTGCTCTAAGCATCTATGAGGAGGTGATTTTAGAACAAGCTTGGTCGATATGTTGCAAGCCCTGAATAAATGTCAGCTATCATTAGCTCCCACACAACAATGCTTGTTTGTAGGATGCGCAAGGTGGTGGTAGGCGTGGGTTGCCAGTCATGACAGACACACAATACTGTCTTTTTTGGGGATCTTATTATAATGAATCTGGCGAATTTGGGTTAAGCAATCTCACACCTTCTCCAGGTGAGGATAGGATATAATACTTCCCATAACAGCAGGTCTTTCAGGGGCTGGTTTACTCCTTGATACACTCTATCAAGGTTGCCGTGGTGTGTGTTTGCAAATATTTATTTCAAACATGAAAAGGTGATATTTCTTCAAATAGAAGGGTCCCCTGGCCAAACTCCTTTTCATTTGGAGAAAACTTGCAACGGAGTCGATTAAATCCTCCTATGCCTCAAAGAAGGGGATCCTAGCATTGCATTTTACATGTGGCCCAACTTCTTGGTTCTTTGAGAATGCCCTGAGAAAATCTTGATTGCAGCCAAATTGAGAGGAGGGCGATGGAAACATCATTTTCCTATAAATATTCTACCCGACTGTAAAGTGTAGACTTATTAATGCAATTAAGCAACAAAACGCCAGAGCGTGTGGAGATCTATATTCGGTGTAGCAGATTTGCAACAAATCCTGTTTGGGGGACTAAAGTTAAATTCAAGCCGAGGAGAGGAAGAAGTGGGAGAAATGGGTGAGTGCTGACGAATGGCTTGCATCTGCTAGGACAGAAGGGCAGAATTTGGAAACTGAATTTCCAGAGAGAAGTGAGGCTGGACGCTGAGAAAGAAAGGTCTAGACCTGCACCCCCGGTGAGGATACGCGTGCAGGAGGGGAGGGGCTTCCTGGCGATCAAGGCCAGCCAGCTGGATGCACAGGCTCCAGGAAGGCGAGGTGGCTGAGGCTAGGTGCCCAGGCCTTGCGCTGCGCCTGAACCGGCGCGCAGAAGCCGCGCCGCGGTGTGCCCTCCTGTGGAGCGCAGAGAATGCTGCGGGGGCGAAAAGGGACAGAAGACTGCAGGTCCGAGGGGCTGGAGGAGTTCCTAAAGGACTCACCGTTACCAAGGCCTTGTCCGCAGGCCCTCCTAAGCCCTTGAACTCCTTTGACGAGCTCATCCCAATTCCACTTCCTGGGGGTGCTTACCCAAGGCCCGGGGACGCGCTACCCCCACTTTCCCAGCTCAGCCTAGGTCTTCGCCTTGGCCCAGGGACTCGCATCATCAAGGTTGCACGCCGGGCTAGAGGGTACGGCCTCGGGAAGGGCAAGGAGGCCTCGCATGCTTGAAAAGGTTATCCTGACCAGACAGCGCCCAGCAGGTCTTGGAGTGAAAGCCATCTAGTCTTTTCCCAATCTTCCCAAGTCACCCCTTCCCTAGTGGGCAGACTACAGCCGCAGCTCCTGCGCAAGCCCCGCTGCAAAAGCCACGGGTGGAGTCGCCTCTGCACCTCGGACAAGTCTTAGTCTCACCTCCCGCCCGGAGAGGGCGCGGGAGGTCCCGCCGAGGTCCTCCACCTGCTGGGAAATCCGAGCCGTTCCTACAGCCCCGGCGGTAGCCCAACTCGCTCCTCCCCTCCCACCAGCCTGGCTTAGCTCCGCACGCCCCCCAGTTCGCTCCTGCCCGCCCTAGTCACCTCGCTCCGCGCCTCCGCCCCTCTCGAGCTCGTGCCCCTCCAACCCGCGTCTCTTCTGCCCGCCCTCCTCCTCCACCCCTCCCCCATCTCTTCTACCCTCCCTTCATTCCACAAGTGTCGCTTTGCTTTCTCCAGCGTACTTGGCGAGCTTGAGAGGCGAGAGGATCCTGCAAACAGACGCGGGGCGTGGAGTCCCGAGCCGCAGACGAGGGGAGGCGCGCACAGACTGACTCTCCCCTGCTCTCCGCCCCCGCCTCCCCCTGTGGCCGGCCGGACCTGCACCCTGCGCTTGCCCCCGCTCCTCCTCCCCCCACCCGGCCTGGCGCGCTCCTCCCCGGCCGGCCCCTCGCGGCGCGGCGCGCTGGAGGCGAACGCAGGCTGAGCCGAGCGCAGTGGCCGCCGACCACCGAGCGCCCCGCGCCGTTCCCTGCATGTGCGGCCCGCGGCGGCTCGCAGCCCCCGGCAGCAGCCTCGGCAGCTTCGGCCGTGCCTCGAGAGGCGGCTGCAGCGGCTCCAGCAGCGGCCGAGCGGTCGAACCTGGGCTGGGAGACAGGATGCGCCGCGTCCTCCGGCTGCTCCTCGGCTGCTTCCTCACGGAGCTGTGCGCCCGCGTGTGCCGGGCGCAGGAGCGAACCGGGCACGGGCAGCTGGCGCAACTGGGCGGCGTGTTGGTGCTCACGGGGGTTAATCGCTCCGGGGCCGCCTCTGGAGAGGCCGGCGAGGGCGCTGGGGTCTCAGACGCGCCCCCTACTCGGGCGCCCACGCCGGACTTCTGTCGGGGATACTTCGATGTTATGGGCCAGTGGGACCCGCCGTTCAACTGCAGCTCGGGCGACTTCATCTTCTGCTGCGGGACTTGTGGCTTCCGGTTCTGCTGCACGTTTAAGAAGAGGCGACTGAACCAAAGCACCTGCACCAACTACGACACGCCACTCTGGCTCAACACTGGCAAGCCCCCTGCGCGCAAGGACGACCCCCTGCACGACCCCACCAAGGACAAGACCAACCTGATCGTCTACATCATCTGCGGGGTGGTGGCTGTCATGGTGCTCGTGGGTATCTTCACCAAGCTGGGGCTGGAGAAAGCACACCGGCCCCAAAGGGAGCACATGTCCAGGTGGGCTGCCTCCCCTCGCCCTCCTCTCCGGGCTTCACTTTCCCTTCTTTGCCTCCAAGCTTGCCCCAGGCAGTGGCCCTGTCCCCCCACCCCGCCTCTTCGCAGGAGGCTGTCACCCGGAAAGCCAACTTTGGTTTTGCGAGTGGAGAAGGGGCTCGGGCTCAGCCCTGATGGGGCTGACAGTGTTGTGGAGGGGGTCTCTGACTGTTTATGCTCTTGCCACCCACCCTCTACCGCCGGTGACCGCGATGCACTTGAGGCATGGAGGCATGGAGCACCCATTTCTGAAATCTTGGGTTTGGGGGAGGAGATCTATAGCATCCCTCGGATTCCAGATGCTACCTTTTAGGTAAACAGAGGCAGGCCAACCCAACCGGGAAGGGGGCGTGTGTGAGCTTGTGAGAGCGTGTGTGAGAGGGGAGGAATCAAGGAGTGAGTGCCTTACGACTAGTGAAAAAGAGGCTAAGGAGGGGCCGAGCGTAGGAAGATGAGAACAAACCTGTGTTCCAAGTGACCACTCCTGCGTGGAGGTTTCTAGGCTTGGGACCTCACTTTCCTCTGCTCTTATATCTCCGTCCCTTTCTCCAGTCACCCGCTCTCCCTGCCTGAAGCAGCGGCCATCACTGCGCTCTGTGCTCCTTTCCCCTGCTGGCAAGGACTCTAGGGTCCCTGAAGACCCTCCACACGCGATTTCACCTCCCAAGCACCCAGATTTCACAACTTTCCCGTTTGCTGTGTGCATTGTATAAGTCCCAGCATGGGCAAGTCACAGCAGATGGAAGAAGGCATTTGGGGATTAATGGAGCTACCTGCCTTTTGCTTTTTGTTTGTTTCTTTCTTTTAAGACTTTAAACTGATTCGCACAACTCAGTAACTTTGGAGGTGGAGGACACAGTCCTGAGCACGCAGCCTCAGCCAAGGGGCGGGGGCGGAGAAGAAGCAAGGGGTTAGCGCAAAGTCTGGGCAGGCGGGATTCAAGGAGCGGCCAGCGAGCAGCTAGGTGGCTGGGGCTAAGCCTTAACTGTCCCTGTCTGGGCAGAGAAGTCGCTCTGTCCCCATCCCTCCCCCCCCACACCTCTGCCGGGGGCCGGTGTGTCTGTGTGTGCGCGTGCGCGTGTATGCATGTGCTCTATGTACATGCCTAAAAAATCTGAACAAAGAGACCCACCAAAAATAGGCGAAGAAACATCACCACCTCACTAGTAATTATTTTCTATTTATACGCAGAGTATCCGATGAATTTTTCCTCCCAGAAGGGAAGGATTTGTAGGGAAGAGGTGAGGAAGTTCTTGTGGGTTGTGGTGAGTTCCTGAGGTACAGAACTAAGCTCTGAGGGCTCAAGAAACCTTGACCTACTAACGGGGTAAAGCGCTTGACCCGCCCACCTCCTACAACCTTCTGCGCCCTGTTTCCAATCCTACTGCGGAGTCATTTGTATCACCCTACCGTGACACTGGAGTCTCCATTAAGGTAGAGGTGAGCTAAGGATGCGGGACTACAGCAGCCAGGACGCCCTTTAGGGAGGCAGTGCTCGGAGACAGTGCGGGGAGACAGGTAGGCTGCCTTGCAGTTTCGCCTAACTCCTGCTGACGTAGCCACCCAAAAGCCTCCTCCATCTGCGCAGAGGTGGGGCGATGGGGAAAGGAGCTGACCTCTGTGGGACAATAGGAGAAACTCATGATAGGTTCAAGGCCACTAAAGTCTAGCTGTCCTAGTATGAGTGGGGAGTCAGTGCTCCACTCATACTTCAGGATCCGGGAGGGACCAACTTGCTGGTTCTGTCCTTGGCAACATCTTTGAGGACAAAGATGACTCCTGCTGACCGGGTTGCTGCTACAGTCTTCTGTATGTACCAGGCAAGGTCTCCTGGGAAGCAGCATGTAGCCTAGGGGTACCCAGTCCTGGGGACAGCAACTCGTCGACAAATGCTCTACATGTATAAATTCCAGAATGGAGTGGGAATATATACTCCTGAAAAAAAAAAAAAAAAAAAGAAATGTCGATTTTTTTTTTTTTACTAGCAGCTTCGAAGCAATCCTTTTCAACCTTGCTGCTGTTTAGAATCACCTTAAATGTTTAAAAAGAATCTTGTCACCAAGGCCTCCACTCTTGACTGCTTAAATCAGAATGTGGCATCTGTACTTTGAAAAGCTCTGCAGGTGATTTTAATGTTTGACCGGTCACTATTAAGGAAAAATAACTAACACCTTTTGAGCACAGAGCTGGATGTCAGGCACTGTAACAGAGAAGGTGTGTTTGTGTGTGTTTTGTGTATGCACACATGTGTGTTTAAACATTCTTTCTCACAACTACTTTATGAGACAGGTACTATTTTAAATGCCAACTCATGTGAAAAAATCATGGCATAGATCAGATGACTTGCCCAAAGTCACACAGAAAATTGTGCAGTCTCTAGTCCCCTGGTTTCATCTTGTACCTGGGGCAAATGTTTTCAGATCCAAACTCACAATCTGGGAGAGCTTCCTAAGGCATAGATTTCTGAATTTTATCTACAGTGATTCTGAATCAATAGTTTGGAGTGGGCCCCAGCAATCAGCTTTTACCAACTCCCTTGAATTACTCTGAGATAAAGTAATCTATACTTTGGGAGCTACTGGCAAGGATTTGGGAATATTTCACAGTCAAGGGATCACTTAATCTTACAGAAAAGAGAAAGGCCAGTGTGACTCTCTTACTTACATTCTGTTGCTTGCTTGTTTTCTCCTTGGATATCACCTTTCTGTGGTTCTTGGACTTCTCCAGGTTCCCTGCACAGGCATCATGCACTGCTTTTGAAGTTAATCTTTTGGAGTCCCAAGGTGGCAATTGGTGAATAGTTTTTGCCTGATGGTGCTAAGAGATGCTTCAGTGGGGGCTGGCCCACTGAGCCTGGCAGCAGAGAGACTGCTGTGAGGCAAAGCATTGCCAAGTAAGATTAACCTGCCAGTCCCTTAATTTTTGTCTGGAGCTGTAACATACATTAAATGTATGTTAATTTGGTCTAATTTTCCTAAAAGTACCTTCTTTTCAAGGGTACGGGACATGTGTGCTCCCATTGCACACTTTACCCTTGCTGACCAGTAAATTTGTATTTTCCAGCAGAGGCCTCTAGCATGTTGGTGTACAGGTGCAGAGTCCTGGGTATAATATGATCTTCTTCCTTCTGAGCTGATTAAGACCAAGAAAAGGAGAAAGACAGCCATTCTGAAGAGCGGGGGCTTACACGCACTCTTGTAAGACATGTACAAATACTTGGCCAGCAGCCATGACAGCAGTCATAGGCAGCCACTGTTTACTGGGAGAGTTGACTGCAAATGGTAGCCAGCCATGGTTACCAAAGTATGAGGATATGTTTCATTTGGTCTGTAAGATATTACTATGAGAGAATTTTTGTTTTGAAGTTTTCTGTAATTTTTTATTGTGAAAAATTTTAAGCATTCAAGAAACTTGGAAGAAATAATAAAAGGAACTCAAATACATCCATCTAGGCAAAGGTTTCTTAAATTTGGCACTGTTGACATCTGAGTCTTGATAATCCTTTGTTTCAAGGGTTTTATCTTACACATTATAGGATGCTTAGCAGCATCCCTGGCCTCTACCCACTAGATACCAGTAGCATGCACCCTGTGTCCCACAGCCCATGGTGGTATGAAAATGTTCCCAGATATTGTCAGATTAAACAGAGGGACAAAATTAGCCCCTCCTCCACCAAGAACCATTGATCTCATTGTTTTGGTGGTACTGGGGTTGAGCCCGGGGTGCCATACCACTGAACTATATCCCCAACTCTTTTATAATTTATTTTGAGACAGGATCTTGTAAAGTTGTTCAAGCTGGCTAAAACCTTGCCAGCCTCCTGTCTCAGCCTCTTGGATCCCTAGGATTACAAGTGTGTGCCCCCATTCCACGCTCAACTAATCTCAGTTTCACAATTATTGATATTTTGTCATCATGATTTTTGTTTTATTGTTCTCATACTCTGTATATTTTTTCTTTTGTTCTCCTTTCTGTATCCCTGCAACTGTTTCCCCCCTTTTTTTCTTTTGGCTGAAACATTTGAAAATAAATCACAGACATGACATTTAGCCCCTTAATACTTTAGCAAGGCCGTCCTAAGAATCAGAACATTTTTCCATACAACACAATTCCATGGCCATATCCAAGAGAGAGTATAAATTCTATACTATTGTCAGATATGCAGCATATCCTATTTCCCAGTCATACTAGAAATGTCTTTTAGAGTTTGATTTTTTAAATTAGGCTCCAATCAGGGTGTATTGTATTTGGCTGTCAAATGTCTTTAGTCTGTTAAGATGTATGATGTTTGAAAACTAGTTTAGAATTGATTGCTAATATTTTAAACCTGGGAGTTTCAGGAAGAAACCCTAATTTCTGATTTCTTTTGAGAATTTGGCAGGGCTGATGACATTGTATCTGTATTTTCACAGGGCAGTGGCTAAGGAGTGACTTCCCCTTTTAGGAAGCTCTTGAGTTGTCTTGGTCACTCCCATCCTCCCGGTCACTCAGTTATGTTGCCTACAGCTCCTGGAGAGTCAATTGGGCTGGCCTGAATGTTGTGGACCCACTTACACTCCCTGCAATGTAATTCTAGTTCAGTCATTTAATAGCTGTTTGACCCTGGGAAGGTTGCTTTACCTCTCTGACACTAAACTTCTTATCTGTTGAGCATTCATTGAGGATGAGTTGTGGAAAACATCCAACATGAGAATTGTCACATAGTCCCTGCTTAGCAACTATTATCTTTCTCATGACTCTTACTGAAATTTTCTCATTCTAGTCTGCTAAAGAGAGTGACGTTGTAGTCTTGTTCTTTGTGCCCAGCTCTGTGACACTGGCCAAGGCTCTTACCTTTTCTGGGCTGGTATTTGAATCCGAGCAGGGGAGGTTGGCAAGTTCAAAATAGGAAGAAAGGCTTGTGCATGACTAGATTAAATGCATTGCACAGTGTTGTCTAGGTGATGTCGAAGAATCTTTGCTGGATTTGCAATCTTGCCATAAGCTTATGTGTAAATTCTCATTTAATTTCACACCCCTCCCCCATGAGGTAGGCTCTATGACAGTATGCCATTTGCAGAAGCACAGATTGCTTTCCAGGAGGATGAACAAGCTCCTAGTGAGTGGAAGAGTCTCACTTCAGACATGGGCAGTGCGAGGCAGGGCACAGGTCTTTGACCAATAGACAGCTCTGCTCTTGTATGCAAACCTGCAGGACTTCCAGTCTTCTCAGTTCACAAAGAAGTGCTCAATGGCTTGCAAACCACAGCATGTGCCTGAGGGCCAGTTCAAGGAACCGTGGTAAGATCAAGTCTAGGAATGTTTCCTGCATCTCACCC